AACTCAGCAACCAGCCGGCATGTTGGCCGGAGACACAGCTATCGCCTACAGCTCCACACAGCAGGCTGGGCTTGAAAGAACAAAAAAGAACACAACTAGAGCAGTGAGAATTTTTTAAAACAAACATATTATTGTCTACCAAACACAGGTGATGAGGAGCAGGAGATCCAGAACAGTACAGGTTTGTTGAGGGAAAAGAACAACAGATGAACGTGTAAACGTGTCAGGCAAATGTTGGGACGTACAGCAGCACCACAGCACAGAACAGGACGACAACAAAGTCAACAGGTGAAGGAGGGAGGCCTCGTGTAGGAAAGGTATCTGAAATATCCTTGTTTCAAAATGACGTTTTAAAAGCCTCTTTTATATACAAAAATATCAAGGTCTCTGGGAGAGTTACAAATGCAGCCAGTAGGTCGGAGGTTTGACCTAGTGATTTTTGGACAAAGATTTAGACTTTAAATCATTGTTTTCCAAAGACTGGGTCGCGACCCTCAGGTGGGCCCATAGCTGCCAGTTTAAAAGCTCCACCTGTGGTAACGTGTAATGATGCAATTATTTTATTGACTATTTTGTTCTGATGTTGCTGGTTCAACTGAATGTTGAAAAGAAAAAGAAATGGGCTACATTTAATGTCCAAGTAGTCTAATTATGGATACCTTTGTTGCTGGTTCAATTACTGTTCTTTGTCGTTTAAAACTAAAGTAATACTAATTGTTCAGATATCACTCAGTCAACAATGAAATTCTCTCATTAATGTTCAATAATGATCAAGTACACCTTTATTTTGTGATTTACCAATAATGTCTATTGACTTGGGTCACTAAAGTTTGTGACTTTTAAAATATGGGTCCCTGGAAAAAAGGTTTGGGAAACACTGGTTTAAATAACCTCATCTGACATCGGCAGATTTATCTCAATACTTCAGATGACAGATTTATTTTTATAAATTCATGATTCAAAGATATGAAGCTGCCGAAACAAATTGGTTTAAAATTCAGGTATTGCTTTAATGTGAGAAACTACTCCATGTTGGACCCGTTTGGCTCAAGTACTACAGTAGGGGGTGATGTCTGAGGGTCAGACCCCAAGTCAAGGCCAGTTAGAATCATTCCAAGCCAATCTCCTCCACAACAGGACCACTCCAAAGATCCCTGACATTCAAGCTTTAAGGTGACCCACGTGGAGTGAAGTCACCGAGGTCCAGGCGCAGCGTTCAGCTCAGAGTCAGAGTGTCTGCACCAACACGGGGAACAGCAGGGACAGGTGCTCAGCTCCTCGTATGGGAAGTCTGTGTGTGGTGTAGAAGTGAACCAGTTCTGGTATGGAGTCAAACGGAGGGCTGTTCTGTCCCAGCACGTACTTGCCATTTTTGCACTGAGTGAACTTCATGTGCATGAACCCCTGGCAGCTCCTGATGGAGGGAGAACAACCGGAAGAGTTATTGTCCCCAAAAAACAAACAAACCACAAAACAAGAATAAAAGTCTTGCAGTAGAACAGAAGGCGGTGAACATGGTGAAAAAGAGAACGACATGACAAATGCAGGCGACATAAAACATGCTGCCTCCACACATTCTCCAGACAGAATAATACTGTGGAAACGAGAGCTTGGATTTATATTCCCATCTTTTTGCTGTACTTTGGGGATGTGATTTTAACTAAGATTTAACACCGTGCCGCAATCTGAGGACAGGAAGGGACACGGTGATGGATGAGTGTGTGCTTTAATAGCACACAGAGGGAAAGACAAAGCAACGCAGCATGTGAGAAAAGAAGTAAGCAGTGGGCTGTGAAAGTGGCTGTGCCAGACGAACCACACATCCTCCCCTTTAATACAGTGGTACTTCCCCTTTAAGAGTCAGCCAGCAAGCCTTGATGTGTGTCTAATTATAGAACAGGGAAAGACAAGAGCTGAAGCCTGTCACTGTAAAGTGTCATTGTTCGACTGGAGCAAAATTAAAATTTGAGCAGAGGTGAAGCCAAAAAACACTCGGGATCATCAACAGCCAAACAACAGGCACTTCATGATAATCCCATCGTCTCCGCTGCACACAGCACATCAGCTCCGCAGAGTTGGCAGCATGCTTTGATTCAGCACTGTTTGTGTGGGACACACGCTGCCTCTCGTGGTACGTTAGAACCCAACAGTGCTCTTCGGCAAATATTCATGTTGGCATAATTTATGCAGCTGTGTCTGTTTCAGTGCGTGTTCACTTTGAAACTGCTCCTTGTTTGCTCTCTGATAAACAACTTTTGTCATTTCCCCACCGCCTGGAGTCGCAACGATATTTATTAAAGATGGCTGGATGGATGGATGGGTGGATGGGTCAATGGATAAATGGGTGGATGAACGGATGGATGGTAGATGAATGCATGGCTAAATAGATGGATGGATGAACAGTTGGACAGATGCTTTTGAGCAGGAACATTCATCTCTCCAGGGATCATTTATTTATAATTGAATTTCCTCTTCAAATGGAAAAATTGTTTTCACAAAATTCAAATTATACTAATGGAGTAAAAATATTCCCTCCCTGACCCAAATAGTCAGTTATGTTCCACGCACGCTAAATATCAGAGTGCAGATCTTTGGGGTGATTTTCACCATGTCTCAGACAGGTCTCTTATAGACGCCTGTCTATGACACTGACGTGGTCACAGGATCTGGGGTATGTTTGGGTGTCTGTGTTGGCAACAGACAAAACTACAAAGGAAAACACAGTTTATCTTCTCACTCCAGCTAGAACTGTCTGAGAGGAACTCCTTTATTGAGAAAAAAACAAAGAAATTCTCATGTGGTAAGAACTGTAGAGTGATTAATGTCGTCAATTAAAAATGCCACCATTTGGCTCAGTCACAAATAAATTCAGATATAAAACACAGATTTACAAACTGGTATTTTTTGTGACTATATACAGGAATTTTGTTTAATTAATCAGATTAAAATGATGGATCCTTTGAAAATTATAGTTAAAGTCTATTGTCATTCGTTTGGTTTAAGAACTAATTCATGAATCACATTTGGCTCTCTCATCACGGTAAAATAACGTGAGCTCTGTTTACACCAGTATGTCTGAAATATTGTGGAAAAATGTCTCACGTTATTTTATGCAACAGGGAAATATGTAAAAATAAACACTTTTCCAGTTGGGGCCACTCGTTGGGACTCTGTCTGATAATACAGTATAACTGTGTGCAGGGTGAAAGGTCATCCATCTTCTCACTCTGACAACTGTGTTATTACAACTATTTTTAAATTGTTTTTTTTTCTTTTCAGCAGAATACACAGAGAACATAATGAGCAGAACCAGATGAGACCCCAGGAGATCGTCCACTCATTATTCCTGCCTGTTGTGATTTATTCCCGGTGCACAATTTAATTAATTACAGTAATTAAAATTACTAATGAAAATGCGACAGTAAAAGGCAGTAATGGTCCAATCGATTTGTAGGATCTAATCTATCTAATCTCATTTCACACTGTGCTGTGTTTTGTTGTTGCATACGCTGAAGGTTGACGTCAAAGGTCGGACCATCCGTCTCTACAATCGAAGAGAACGCCAAATCGATGGATTCTCCGGTTTTTATCGGGACATTTTCCTCCAAATCTTTCGTGCGTTAACGAGAAAAAACCAGTGTTAAATGTGACCTTGCTGCCTGGGCAAATATGCATGCGTGTGTGCAGATGTCAGAGCCACTCGACTCGTCTAAATGAGTAATGCCTGAGCTTGTTTGTGTGTCAGCACAACACCGTGCCGCTGTGCCAGCCCTTCTCCTCCTCATTCACTTCTTGTGTGGCCCACAGAAGGTGATTCATATTCATTAGTGGTTATGGCGAGAATGATGTGAGCACTCAAGTGTGCTCTACCTGCCTGATTACCACTTAGAGGGCCCGGAGGGGCCGCAGAAGAACACAGAGAGGGGCCAAGGATAGGGTAAGGACAGAGGGATTATGGGAAAGCAGATCGCGGCAGTGGCCACGGGTGGTAATAGCCATTACAAGGGATAGATTTGACCAGTTAAGCAGCATTATCAGTAACATGGCGCAGAGAGAAGGAGAGTCAGGGAAGAAATGAGTGTGAAGGTGATCTCTGATGATGGAGGGAGGGAGACAGATGGAGAGGAGCGGGAGACTGGGAGGACGGAAGCTCAGCTGGCTTTGCATGTACTTCTCACTCACTCTTCATGTCATGCAGGAGGAACATATGAGCCATTATATTGTAAGACTGGATTTTTGGGGATTTCCCTTCGGCTGAGGGACTTGGTGGGTGAGGGGTGAGGGGGGGTGAGGGGTGGGTCACTGTTACTGTACTCACCGTAAAGACAGAGACAAGTCGGTGCGATTGGTCTGGCTGTTCCTCACAAGGTAGCTGCACTCTTTACATAGAGTTAGCAGTGACTCGGCCTCAGAGCGGGACAGTGATCCATGGTACCACCTGACACACACACACACACAAACACACAAACACACACATGATGATGGACTGGCCAGATGGACCTCCTGACACATTGACCTCACCATATTGACAGTAACTCCTGGGTGTCTGATCCCACCCATGGTTCAAATGAACGTGGATCACATACAGTAAATGGGTGTTCATGTTGGTTGGCCTACATCAATCTCTTGCCTTCCCACCACCACTGACATAATCCTTCTTTGGGTTTTTCTTCCACCTACAACATTTCCTGTCTAATATTTCCATGTTTTTGTCGTCAGTTTAAAACCAACTCAACATCATCTATTTCCAAATTCTCCAGAATTTCAACAACTTTAACAACTGTCTCCATGCTATCATTCTGTTACACATCAACCTTGACACCCGGCAGCCCCCACCCCACCATGTCTGCTCCCTTGTCAGCACCAAAATCATTAATTTCCATCAATCTTTCTGTCATTCTCTTCCTGTTTTCCATGTCTTCTTCTAACATCCATTCCTCGTGTCTCCAGTTCCTCTTCACCCGTGTCCTACACTCCTGTTCAAACTGCGATGGCAAGACGATCCATCACACAGAGCCTCCTCATTGACCTCATCTTTCATTCTGTCAATCACCTGTGCTCACTTAGCTTTTTCAGCGCTTTTACTTTTCAAATTGGAATTCTTATATTACCACGTGCCACAGATGCCTCAGTCACTGAGTGCTACAGGTTGACGAAGGACAGGTTTCTTTGGTTAAAACATAAAGGAGACACAGAACCAAAGGCCTTTAAAGATCATTAGAGAGTAATGGGCTGTGATAATTAACTAGCAACCCCGAGTCAGTCTGTACGCTCACACACACACACACAAGTCATTGTTTGGAACCGTACTGTACGTGTGCGTGAGCCGTGTCATGTGCTTGGATTTCATTAGTGAAACGACCCTTTAAATTGGACAGAAGGAGCACAGAAATGACTGCAGTGATGTTTAAAATTACATGGATGTGTGTGTTTTAATGTCGGGACTTAATTAGCTTTTATTCTAACCTTTCGCAGTTTAGCAAGCGCCGGTGAGCGCGGCTTAGCCAAAACATGTCACACATTACAAGTCTTTATGTTGTTTTTTGTTATAATGTATGACAGATGCACGTGGATTTGTGTGTACTGTACATTTTTATATCAGCTGACATTGGAGTACCACCAATATTTAAAGTGCAATTTTTCTTCCAAGACAGCTCAATTTCTTCATCCCATATAATATATACGCTAATCAAATTCCAGGCACAAGGGGCGCTCAATCAAGTAGAACCAAGGTCAGTGGAGACCAGCAGAAAGTGAGCCTTTAGATCTGATTAAAACTTTTAAATGATGATTTATGCCTTGGTGCGAACCTCCTGGCTTCATTTATTCCTTCATGCATCAAATGCCAAAAACCTACTACTTACTTCCTACCACTGGGTTTATTAGTCCCAGACTGTAAAAACAACAACAACAACAACAACAAAAAAAAAACTGGAGACAAGATTAGGAGAGAGTTAGAGTTGTTTTTCTTCTGGATTCACGACTGTGGGGAAAACATGCACCGATCTGAATTTATGAGCAAAAATAGCTCTTCACAGCTGGACGTTGGGTAATAACAGTGTTGCAGTCTGGCTCATGAGAGTTTGTTCTTTTCTATAAATTAATTAAAAAAAACATTGAAAACCTCCAGTGGGAGACTTTGGTAGAATGAAGTTAAAAAATCTTTGTTTGATTTCACTTCACCAGTTGTCCTTGTTGGCCTATGTGACACATGGAACAATTAAATATTCTTCCACTAGGTGGCAGAACATTTTTTTACAAACTAAAAAAGGGACTTAGAGCTGTTAAAGAAGATGTTTGTGTCTTTCTTCAAGTCCTGCGAGTATATCAGCACTATGGTCAACTCAACAGGCCCAGGTTCTGCACCAAGAAAATCAATTATGATTAAAATGAAACTAGACAATTATTATATGTAATTATGTATACTTTATCTTCGAGTGGTGCACTATGGGATTTTCCCAATATAAAAATTATTAAAATGTTTTCTACTTCTAATACTGGTCAGATGTATCACAGCTAAAGGACCTCAGGTGTCTCGGGAGCCGTGCACTCTGCTGATCTGTGCCTACATTTCATTATTTGCACTGAAATGTCATACATACACCTGCTTCTCCAGAGGAACCCCAGGGTCCACCCTCTCCCCCACCATCGTAAGGCCTTCTTGTGGCATTCGAAACTTTTTCCCTCCTCCTGCCAGCGGGCTGGTCCTGGGTCCTGGAGAGCGCAACCGTTCCGTGGGCGAGGACGATCGGTCCCACTCTGCGCCGTCAAACTGCACTGTTGGCAGAGAGAAACAGAAAAAGTGAGTCACCATATTTACACAGTGCTGCGACCGAGAGGGATTAGAACTGGGCAGTTTGATTTGGACAGACATCAAACATATGTCCACGGCAAAAACTTTGATGGAGCAGGGAGTCTCCTCACAACAAAGGACAACACATTCTGCTCTGACAGACATCATCGTGGGCACTACCGCCGCCATCATCCACATTTACTGAGTCTCTAACTGGGGTGAATATGGTTTGCTGCCTCCTCCCTGCCTGGCTCTGACACACCTTTGTCTGTACTGATTATAGCATCATGATTTACTGATAGAAACAGTCAGTGATGGTTTAGTTTAGGTGCAGCAGACTTGGTTTGACGTTGCTGCCATGAAAAGCAGATATTACATTTTGCAGGGACTAGGTGTGAGATTAGCTTCAAAAACCTGAAAACCAATGACTGCAGAGGACACTGAGATGCAGGTGCGACAGATGAAGTCAGCCGGGGTGGGGAGGGTGGAGATGGAGCAGATGTTGAACAACAGTTTGTGCCATGAAGGTCAGCAGGGCCACATGTGTGAGCTTTCTTTGGTCAAAAAAAAAGGCGAGGCAGGGGGTGGAGGTTCAGGGTTAAAGGTCACCTTGCCTACTGACACAGTGCTCTATCTCCTCCGGCTGACCCTGGCGGGTTGGGGGCAGAGTTGACAGCTCCCCCTTTGTAATCAAGGGGAGGCGGGGGTGTTAGAAGGGGGTGAGAGAAAGAGGAGACACCAGCAGATTGATCTGAACAAAAGTTAGGCAAAGTGAAAATAGGTAAGAGGAGCAGTAAAGATTAAGGAGTGGATCTATTTTCGGGTGGGCTTTAGATTGAGAGGGAGAGAGAAAGTGTGAAGTGCTGTAGGAAACAGGTGTTAGATAGGGAGGCAGGGCTGGGAGGGAGAGGTGAGAGAGTGTGTGTGTGTGTGTGTGAATGCACAGCTGTCAGGGAAGTGATGTCATGAAATGTGGTTAACTGCACCTCCTGTCAGTGACTGAAGTAATGTACTCTGGTTCCTGGCTCTCTTTTTTTATCACACTTGTAACAGGCACATCTGAGGTGTTTCACATCCTATTTTTACAGTAATTTATCATGTGTGATACGGTAGACAGGATGTTCCAAAGTTAAAGGCTGCACTGACTTCGCTCAGCTGTAGAATTCCAGTTTAGGAAACCGTCTCACGCCTCTCGAGGTTCTGAATCCAGACTGTGTCTGGGTGCGCGGTGCTGTCCACAGCAGGGTGTACCAGTGGAGCCGAGGAGCTCGGGGGCACAAACCCGTCTGCCTACAGTGGAGAGTGCTCTGTTAAACTCAACTGAGAATAGCCGATTTTCATTCACCCCTCAAACCACCTAGCCTAGCGCTCATTAGCGCAGCTTAACACGCGCGCACGGACACATTTAAAGCAGAAAGGGATTACAAAACAAATAAAGGGAAAACGGGGTGATGTCTTAATGAGCTGACAAATCCAAAGAAGCCCCGGGCCGCTAACATCAAAGGACATTTGAATGGGCGTTTGGAGAGAGACCCGGGCTGAACATACATGCCTTTCTCCCTGCATGGTTAATTATTGAGCAGGCAGACACTCCGCCACTTTCGCTGGCTCTCCATGAATTATTGATGCGTGGTGCAGTACAATGGCCCCATCTGGAGCGGGCTGCACCTCCTCTAAAGCCAGGATTAAAGTGTGGCCTGGCATCCCTCAATGGCAAATAGGCACGCAACTACACCAAGTCTCACACACGCACGCACACACACACCTGATACCCTGAAACAGCATCATTCTGCTGCCTATCCACTTCAATCCACTCCACGCCACCTGACACTTCACACGTTTAATTCTCAAGCAAAATTAAAAAAAGAAGAAGAAGAAGAAGTGTGAGGAGGGAGGTGTAAATGAGGCACACAGAAGTGAAGAGAGCAGAGAAAGTGGAAACTGCCTGGATAATTTAGCACAGATCAGGAATGTGCTTCGCCATGTGAGAGATAAGAGATGAGGTCAGACGGTGGTGTAATGGAGGACGGAAAACTCTTGAAGAAGAAGAGTCCTCTCCCTGTTTGGGTCCTTCCTACAGTAGGACAAGTCAGCCTGGAGTAACGGAGTCTGGGGTTAGTGTGGCAGAAAACATATCTGTAACAAGTTCAGCTTTGAAGGGAAGGAAACTGACATGAAGTTGGTTTGTGTAAGGGTGGAGGGGTTGGAGGGGCAGACTGCCTGTGCAGGGCTCTGTCTTTTGCTGAACTGTGTAGAAAACACTTCATAGAACAAATATGGAAATCTAAGACCTGATTTTCAGATGTTCAGCCGTCAGATACCATAGAATCATTTCCGGACTATTGAGTGCACCTGGATATAGGCTGCACCCATTACATTTAAAAAGAAAAAATATTGTACATATATAGGCTGCGCTTCTCTATAAGCTACAGGTGTCCATATTGTAACATTGGATATTTAGATCGAAAGATTTTTGTTTTCACTTTTAATTAAATAAATATTGTCTTTTTCCGAACAGTGCCTGTAACACGGCTGGTTACACATTAGCTCCGTCCTGTTTCTTTGCCCCGACCATAGTTGGAATGGGGAGAACAGGGGAGCCTTGTCTGCAGCAGAGGTAAACAGAAACAGGGAAGTTTCTGGAAGTCTTTATTATCAGCCACACCGAGGACAACAGAACATAAACAGAGTTTTAACAGCTCCTGTATAACCAACTCACACTTCAACATGACAGGGCTCAAACTACTCTCAACTTTAGCTAACGTTCTCTGTTTTGCGCCCCACATACACATACACACAGAGCCATTCACAGACAGACATACGCTACTAGTCTAGCACACAGTAGCCTAGTAGATCATTTTTTAACATTTTCACATCAATCGACTCCACTAGATTATTTCACTCCACTGTTTAACTATCTCTTAATGTATTATATCACAAAACTTGCTGCGTTTACACGTTTGGGAACAACCCAGAGACCCTGCTGAGGTTTGAACTTACAGAATGAGAAAATTCCATCTCGACATAACCTTGCATTGAGACTGAGATACGCATGAGAGAATCACCAGTCACTGAACCTTGAAGTAACCTGTGTCTCCCTGTTGCTGGGAATATAAAACATTTGCCCAGTAAAGTTGGACAGAAAGAAATTAATAAAGGTTCCTTTGATATATATCGTCCACTGTACAAGGTGATAAGACTGAGTAGGTATTGAGGTACTTTGTACTGATTGAGTAGAGGCTGAAAGCAGCAAAGTTTTGTTGCTACACGTCTCTTTAAACACTGTAGTACTGACCTATGTCCGGGGGGGGTCAGTACTGGGAGGTAAAAATCACATTTATAATCCCACAATAATCTCTCAGTATACTTGACAACATGTTGTTTAGTCTTTGCTCAGTGGAGATTGTGATGTAGTGACAACGGAAACCTAACAAAACTAACGACGAGTCCATTCAGGTATACAGTATTACCACAGTAATACACAGTGAGTACACAGGGTTTTTTAAATGGACAAAAACCCAACAAACACACAAACATGTGCTTGTCCACACAGGTCCTATGGTGGCCCTGATAAGAACACACACACAGGCACACACACACACACACACACACACACACACACACACACACAATTGAAACAACTCTGGGATAACAAAGACACACTATCAAACCCTGTGAAACAACTCTGTGATAACAAAGACACACTATCAAACCCTGTCAATCATTCACGACCGTTTTCATGTGAATCAGTGACAGAACATCTGGTGCCTATTAACATCCCACAGTCACCTGTGGATCTGTCACACACTCAACATATGTCACTGGTGGAGCCAGTGCAAAAGATTAGAGTTTCTGTGGAAAAAAATCCCAACCTAGAATCATGTTTTAGAATTCGTTTTTAAGAAGAATAATCTGTTCCTGCTCATTTCCAGGAACTATCAGAGAGGCAGAGGGAGCGACAGAGCAAACTTGGTTTCCCGGTGTTTCACAGTCCACTAATTAGCTTTGGTGAAGGACCTGAGTGTCCCAGCACATGGACAGTGTCCCCAGGATGAAGGCGGTGCAGACAGACAAAGACCGCGGCACAGCTTCATTAGCTCCATTAATGAGAGAATCTGTTTTTCAAACAGCCTTTCAACATCTTTTCCTCCGTCTGCACACAGAAAAACTCCACACATTTGTTGAGTGTAATGGCCTCCAGACGGACTCACAATTAACACCTCAGCCCAACAGACAAGGCAGCACAGCCACAGGAAAATAAAACCTGCATTAGCTCTTTAGTACTTTCACCAAGTTCTTGTTTCAGAAGAAAAAAAAAAAAACGGTCTTTTTTATTGTTTTCATTACTTTGATTTTCTAAGAGAATTAAGTTGAGTTTGTACTGAAAACCACATTTCCTTCTGCAGTGTTTTTAATTGGAACATTTCTCCTCTGCCTCACAGTGGGTTCTACCACTGCCTCTCCCGACCTACAGAGGACATGCTATTTCACTGATGTCAGCGAGGTTCATACTCAAGTAGGGAGCAAATCTACCAGGAAGGGGGGCGGGGGGGTAGGGTGGGGGAGGAAATAGAGGAAATGTGAGCGCGCAGGCGGGAGTGAAAAGACACAGCAATTGAGAGGGACAAGAGTCCTTCTACTGCGCTGATAATTTGATGAAGAGGGTGGTCAGATCCCCCCCGCCCCACCGATCCCCCTCTCCTCCAGGGGGTGCTCTGAGCTACAAAGAGCAGCATCACACTATAAATGGAAATACCATTTCCCTCTTCTTTCTTCCTTGCTTCTATGTTTGTCTGCACACACACATTTCCACGGCTCCTCAGGGACACGCATACCCAGAATAGTCCGACAGTGTATTATGTCTGAGTACAGTACATGTTTCCAGACGTCCAGACACAACACTGACAATCCACCCAGCAAAGACCCTACAGCCCGACAACGCATCTGTTAAAATAAAGGAATGTTGTGAACAGGGTGGTAACCA